AGTTACCTTGATTTATCTATTTCATATCATCTTTATTGTTTTAAAAGAAATAATTTTAAACATTCAAAGTAGGAAAATTAATTGAAATGTAATTATTATGATGTAAAAATTGACAGGGAATTTTATGCTGAGATTTCATTTTTAACACAGGAACTTTGCCTTATATTTGACTTGTTGTAATATGGGCTGACAAAATTTTAACCAGGAACACCATCATGATCAAAATCAGATTCTCTGTAAAGATTGGGTACTTACATGTAGGCATAATTATCTTGAATGTAGGCATAATTGGGTCGATATAAAAAAAAACAACAGCTAAACGTGTCACTTCTTTGTAAAATCCTATTTCTCATTTTTTTCTCAATTTTGGACTGTTGCATTTCAATCTATGAATCTTTACTTTCTATTTACCAATAGAAATTATTAATTTCATTAAAGTCAATGGATGATTTTTATCACACCAATTAGCCAAATTCATGCTGTCAATGGAATTATTCTCTTCAAATAAGGATAAATACGCCAAAAATTATATGTAATTTTGTCTGAAAAATCATGTATGCATAAAATAACAATTAAAAAGAATATATCTTTTTGAAAAAAAATATGAGCCCCATCTTCCATTTAACTGATACAGCGTTTAATATGACTATACAAGAAAGTTTTGTCATTGGTGTTACTATTTTTGTTTTTGCTACAAAAAAGTTATCATTCCTGATAAGAGAATATAAACAGTCCTAAGTCATATTACATCACTTCTCACCAAAAACATCAGAAACTGATCCTTGATGTTCATGATCAGAACATATTGATGGACTTCAGAAGTAAAGAAAGTACACTACTACAAACTTTTTTGTCAGTGGTGTTTCAATCGTAATTTCATAACGATTTTAGATTTTCATTGAACTCTTTTACGAAAGATGTTCTTTAGGTGAACTAATAGCAATGTGGACAAAACTTTTACTTTATCCAGGGTAAATTAGAGATACCAGATCATTTTATGACTTATACGTCATTGGTGTTACTGTCATTGGCATTACTTCCTTCACTTTAACACCAATGACAGGAATGGTTACACCATTGACAAAACAAGTACTTTTGGAGGCCAAATCTATTCTTTTTATATAGAAAAATTATTTATTTGTATTCTACCTTGAAAACCTTATTTATGGTTTATGAAATTAATTTGATTTATTTTCCAAGAAATGTATTTTTTTCCACTTACAGACGTTTTAAATATATGGTAATGCCAATGACAACTTCAGATCATATACATGTAACACCAATGACAAAATATTTTATGCTCATAAAATATATATTCCCTTCTGAAAAATTCACAGGCCATGCATGAATGTCAGAGTTTATCACCTAAGTAAAGTAAAATTAGTCAAGTTTAACTTAATTTGTTTAAATCTCTCTACGAAAAGTTACCTTTTATGGTAACACCAATGACTAGTGAAGTAACACCAGTGACAAGAAAATTTGATTAATACATTTTATCTTCTAGTTCTTTGATGAAGAATGTGGAATTCAAAACATTATATCCTTCACAATTGAGACCCTTTTACCCTACCTACATAATTCGTTTTTAAACCACTGTATTTCTTTCAGCTTTTACCATGCATTTGTATACAGTATACGTGTAGGGCTTAATTGGAGAAAAGTATCAGAAAAAAATAATGTTTGCAATAGGGGGTTTTCTCCTTTATATTCTTTAAAGTTATCTACCTATCTACATAAATCATTTATTCTTTAAATGATTAAATGACAATACATCTCATGTAGCTCTGCATTATTCTATGGTCATAATGGGATAAGTCTCTGTCACTGGTGTTACCAGATTTCTTTTTGTTATAAGATCATTTTAAGTATGAAATCCCAGAAACTTATTTCATTTTTGTATGTTAGCCATGCAGTGTATTCTGTCTTTCACATGAATTTTAAAGTTATTTTATGTTTAATTGCTAATTTTTAAGTGCTAAGTCATTGGTATCACTAATTTCGATCATTGGTGTTACAGTTGAGTCAGTGGAGTAACCAACCAAAAACTTGTAATTTTTTGCTTCTAATAAGTTTAAATGTAAGAAATAACTTTATATTACCTAATTTCACTCCTTGAAAAAAATCATAAACTACGTTATTTTGATTTATACACACATGGTACCATATTTACAGCATAGATTAGCGTTTGTCTATTAAATTTTTGTCTCATGTCAATGTCCAAATGTGATTGAAAACTTAATTTTCATCACTGGACAATGATACTTTTGGACTTATCAGTAAACTTAAATAATCCTAGTAAATGTTTATCATAGATTGCATTCATAAGTTTTTCACTTGGTTCTATCCAACAAAATTTTATAAGGTAACACCAATGACAAAAAAAAAAAACAACACAGTTTGATAAATTTACGAGAACATTCTGAAAAATAGCTTCCCTACTGTTTGCTAAATGTTGTTTTCCCAAAATATTGTGCAGCTTTATCAATTTAGATACAAAAAAAAAGAAACGGAAATATTGAATTCTATCTCCAATTTTCATAAGTATCATTTAGCTGCTTTTTTCATATCGACCCAATTATGTTCCATATTGAATTTTATTGAATATCAGGTGTCAGAAATAAATATGCAACCGAAGGGATAAAAAAAAAATACGTGAGGTAAAGTTTTTGAACCAGATAACAGTCATCAGTATTTTTGTAACGCCTGCAGAGCAGAGCGACACATTGATCACTTTCCCGGCGTCTATCTGTCCGTCCGTCTGTCACTCCTAGACTGTCTAGAACTGTAAGGGTTATGTATTTTATATTTTCACAAATATCACCTGACACCATGACATTTGTAAATAAGTATAGTTACTGAAAGCGTGACCCTTGAACTTGACCTTTTACCTACTTTTCAAAATAGTTCATAGTGCCTATATACAGGATATTTTTCAGATATTTTCTGAAACGTACTTGCATTATAAATCAATTGACTTTGACCTTTGACCTACTTTGCAAAATATATTTCCGGGAAGTTAAAATTAACTAATTGACTGCAGAAGTTTAAGAGGTAAGATTTTGATAATTAGCATAATATTTATATACATGTTTATGAGATCTTGCTTCTGCACTTTGAAACTGTAAAATATACAGTTACCACACAAACTTATATTTATGTTCTTTGAAAGTACATCATAACTATTGTTATACAATGCATTGTATAAAATTTCAATTGCAGTAAAAAAGGCTGACTTTTAGCTCTTCAGAAGGATTATTGCTAGAAACACATTTAGCTTTATATATAATAATACAGTACTTAAAATGTATCATATTCGATTACTATAAAAAGTTATATTTTAATACTTTGAAAATACAACGGGAACGACATTCAAGAATAGATGAAAGTTGACTGACAACTCGGGGCTTCTCCCACACTGTTTGAATATGGAGCGTTGCGGATTCAGCCGAGGATTGCGCATTGTTGAGTGAAAGAAAAACTGACTGTAGAGGTCTCTTTGAAGGATTGTCGGAAACACGTTTGAATAAATAATAGTAGATATTTCTAATGATTTAATTTTAATTGATATGTTTTACGGTATGATCATTTAGGTGTACCATCAAAAACACAATTGAAACATTGATCAGCCACCTCAAGTTATACGAGACATCTAGACTAGTTGTGACGTCACACGACGTAAGGGGACTGTTCAGGGTTTACGGAGACAGCTGAGCGTCTGGTTGAAACTAAAGACAGTGCAATTTTTAACAAAAGATATTGTTGAGTATTTTCTGGTTGCTTTTAAGATTTCTGCAAACCAAAACCATTTTATGTTGTTTGTTTATCCACCATTATCGCATGGAATCCTTGTACATTAATTGTAGCAAACGAAATCTGGGAAGGTTTCAAGCAAAAATTTGTATGACGTATGTACATATTTCAATCTGAATATCCTCTGTTCTTATAAACGTTAGTCTATTGAGCTCGCTGTGTTCGCTATTATTATTTGAGACCCATACATTCTTTGTTAAAAAGATTCTATCGTAGTGTCGTACTATGTATGGGTGCTAGATTTCTTTGCAGGCTAAACTGGTCCATAATCCCAATCTGATGTACTAGACTGGTCCGATTTTTCTCTACTCCTGATTTGAATTGTTTAAATAGACTTGTGAGAATGTAATACTGTTTGTCATCTCTATAAATTTTAGTCCACAAATTTTTTGAATTTCAATCTAGATCACAATCTGTGCATAAAGAGTTTGAATTTTAAGTTATAAATAGACAATGAATGCATGTTAATTATTAACAATTAAGTGACACATTTCAAATAATATCCTTACATCTTTTTATTTCTCTATCTTATTAAATATGAATTTAAGATATATTTAGGTAAGATAAGGGGGTTGTTCATTTTTCTTCACAATTTCATGTATTTTATAAATTGTTGGAATAATTGATTACATTGTAATTAATAAAATTAAATCTATTCCTTTTTAAAGAAACTATTATAGTACTTTTGTATCTTACATGTAGTTACTTAAACTGAACATGTTTGTGTATGTACGTGTGTGCATTTGTGAGAGGGTGTGGTTCTTTAAGTACTAGTGTGTGTGCAAGTGGGTAGGTAGGTAGGTAGGTGTAAAGAAATTTGTGTATTAAACAGTGTATTTCGCATTTTTATATTCGTGAACTCAATGACTTGTCATACTAGGCGTGTCATTTATTTTAGGAGACTCTGCATGGACATTCCGATGAAGTTTATAGCGTCGAAAAGTAGCTGCAGTTTTTCTTTAGACGAAGCAAATATTACCCTTCAAGACGGCAGGTATTCGACCATATGTTGATAAAAAAAAAACTAGAAATCTACTTTATTTTATAACTTTCATGACTTTTTATCCATAATCTTTATCTTTTCATTATCATATATTGTTTTATCTTGATTAATCATTGGAAATGCACATGTATGAAAACAATGTATTGTTTTGTATCTAAATGTATGATCATATGTTTAAAGGTACTGCCTTAATCCATGTAATGTATCCATTCCTAACATATGGAAAGGGCTTCGGTATGGATTAGCTGGTCTAGTATTGAACTACGGGACCCAAAAGACATATTTACCTTTGACAGATTTCTGTTCAGATACATATGATGTCGACAATATACATTCTAGGGATACGTATGTAGAATGTAAAGATTGGAAATATGGTAAGTAGATACAGATCTAAAACACAGCGTTTAAAGATTATCAAATTTTATGTCAATTCAATACAAAGTCATCGTTGTGTGAAGGTTTTCGTATTTCCTTACTGACTATTTCAACTAACAAAATGCACATATACGAGGGGTGTTAGAAAAGTTCGCGGACAAGTTCTATTGTGAGCGCGCTATTTTCAAGAAACCAGTCAAACTTTTCAGATAAAATCTTAACTTATTTTCCAATAAATATACAAAACTTTGGTGCTTTCCGGTGCTCATTGAAAAATATACAACTGTTTTATTTTGATAAATCTTGCTTCACGGAGCATGCTACATTTTGGCACGTTTACATCACATAGATTCTTTATCAAAATTAAAAATTGCACAATTGTAGTGCAAAGAGATTTGTTATATTTTACCTGTCGCACAGGTATCCATGAAACATCACTGGGAGAAATTATGGATCAAATTGGAGGGTATATGACTGTTTTATAGCCATTTATAAATGATCAACACATAAAAACACAGCAAAAAATCGGAACGTTATTGAGCGTCATGGAGCACTGCGCTACGTAAAATTTATGTATGCAGACAGGAAAATGTCTAAAAAGAGATTAAAATGTGCAAGATGCTGCCGGATATTTCCTACACATACAAAGGACAAAAGTTTTCAAATGGTTGTAGCTTTATAAGAATGTAAGGATTAACATTTTGAATGATTAACCCCATCGATATTTCAATACCCCTTTATTGCATGGACATTATGCCTTTATGGTTTTGCATAGCTTCCATACCTAATCGATTTACTGCATAGACTTTTTTCCCAAACATCTCAATAATATCCGAGTCAGTACAAAAGACATTATAGTAGAAAAGTAACATGTCTTGATATAGATATTCAAATTTACAGTAGAAAAAAGATAAGAAAATATTTAAAAAATGAAAGATTTAATGAACTGCGACAAAGCTTAACGGGTTGATATCTGGCTGTCTCGTCGCCTTACGTCAAGTGATTGCTCCGTGAATCCCATGACCTCATAGTAAAAATCGTTGTAAATTTTCAAGATTGTAGTAAATGGACCTGATTTCTTACATACAAATAAACAAAATGTAGGAATTTATTCAGACATAGGTCATGCTTCACAGTACACAATAGATTTTCCGTAATTCAATGTGTCCGCGAACTTTTCTAACAACCCTCGTATGTTCATCATATCTTAATTCTTTAATAACATGAATGTCAAGATTTATTTAAGCTAATCATATAAGACGTCATATATATTTAACCCATCTTTCTTTTGAAATATGATTCAGATTGGAGTAATTTTACGCTACAAATTAAAAGCAACCAATTATACAATTTCCACATTTTGTAGCTTATTCTAGAGTTCTCTGCAAATATGAAGGTGACTGTGGGGAGAATGCTGAATGTATCTCACAAGGGGCAATAGGTATCTGTTACTGCAAGTCATCCCATATCAGAATCAATGGTTATTGCTACAGGGGTATGTAATTTTTTTCTGAGTAAGGAACAATATACATGCATATTATTTGTCTTGTTTTAAATCTTTTTCAGTGGCTAAATTTCTTAAGGGCATTGGTAAGGTTTCTGGCATTAGTGTAGAAATTTTCAAGAACTTTTGAACAGGTTTTGTGGTACCAAATATGTTTAATTCTGGTTTTTTTAACCCACCAAGCCCGCCTTCCTTTTGTCGAATCAATGTTTTTACAATTCTCAATGCATTTCCTATGTAAAATGTTGATAAAAAGGACCTACACTATTTTTAACCATACGAATTCTCTCAAATCTATTTATTTCCTAAACGTTTTAAGTTAAATAAATTACTGTATCCGTATTTTCGATGACAGGAATATATTTTGGCTGAAATGCAAATATAGAAACAAGACACAGAAATTCCAGCACTGTTCTTTTATTTTGAGTTACATGTACTTACCTTATTCATTATGATCAAGAGTTTTATTATGTAATTTACAGCGTTATTGGAAACAAATTCTCATAAATATATGTGCATGGATTTATTATAACTTATATTCATTTTACTAAACAGTACATCTTTCACATGACCCAAACTATAGAACAATTCTTCTCATCCGGTTTCCTAGCTTCACCACGTTCAGCATGTCACATCTTTGCCTTTCCCAGCATCACTATGGTAAATTACAACCTGTTGACTGTCTGCCGCTTTAGATTACACAATGTACAACAAAACCATCACTGCTTTTCTTTCTTGCTGTATAGTTTATTCTGTCAGTTTAAAAAACATATGGTTTTCTTCACTACTGTAATATACGTTTTATTTATTTCCACCGCTGAATTCCAAACGGGGGATCACTCTCAATGACTGTCTTTTTTAAGTAGAAAAAAAACATATGTATTAATTTTTTTATCTCCGGAAACCTTGCCTTGCCAATGACCTTAAGAGAGACTTTTAAAGTTTTAGACAATGTTATATTAATCAGCGGATAATGTTATTAGAATAGGATATTGAACTGAAGATTTATAATACCTCTAAGATAACATGGTCAAAAGTATACTGTATGTATAGTTTAATGCTAATTGGAAAGTGAACACAGAGAAAGAAGGTTATTCTGTGTATTTTCATCGCTTGTAGAGGTATTATAGTAATAATTTATCAGGTCATGACCTTGATCACATGTTTTTTGGCCAGTGATTCCACCTCAGAATATTTTTTTGATATTACCAAAATGTGAACGCAAATCGTCTCCTACTATAGCTGAGAAGCTTTTCTTAAACTAGAATTCCAAATATATTTAACAAATGAATTGTTTCTAATTGTGAGCATATAGAAAATACAATAAAAAAATAAAGATTGCCGATTATTATGCAATGATTGGAAAAAATTCTTTGTGCCTAATAAGTTGTGGAATTTTTTTCCAATAGAAAATTTGTGTAGAATCCGTAGTAATGCAAAATGCAATTCTCATATTCATTCAGTTGATCTGTCAGTTGAAGCCATGTTGTTACCTCATTTGATAATCCGACCAAGTAAATATGGGTCCTATGCAAGTATTTAAAAAGATATTTGTTAATACATACCTGCAGAAAATAATGTCAGAAAGGATACTTTTTAAAATGTGAATGAGTTCAAATGAGATTGAGGTGCATTTCTTAGATATTATAGGGTGGTGAAAAATGAAACGCAACGGAACTTTTTTGTTTAACGTGTCTCCAAGTGCTAGTCGCTTCCTAGCCACATTTCCTTGAATAATTTATCCTTTCTCACTGTAGTCTCACCAAATCTCGCCAGAACTACTGCTAGAGAAATCATTTTAAGTTCACCGTAATGATGACTTAAAAAAGGTGCTTGGTACATTACTTAGATGTAACATTACAGCACATAAAACTATATTGCCTCCACCAACCTTCGATGACGCTACCTTTTATCATAGAATGTATTGGACCGACTTTGCTTTTTGTTCATAATTTGTTTCAGAGCTTAACAACAACTAAAATACAAGGTCATTTAAATAATTTCTTGGCCTTAAGTTTGCTAGAGAAATTCATTAAAATATATACACGTCGAAACAGAGGGTTCTATCTTTTGTTTCAAGAAGAAGAAAATAGAGATAATGTAAACCAAACTTTATTCGCGTGCGAGAAATATTCGCTAAGTTCGCGATATCCTCGTCATCGCGAATATTTCTCGCCGCGAACCGGTGCTTAAAGTGTATGTGTTTATTAATAACAGATTTAAAAATACAAAATAAGAGCAGAGCAAACACTGACCTCCGAACCATCAGAGTTGGGATCAGGTGCCATGGAGGATGAGCATCCCCTGCTGACCGGTCACACCCGCCGTGTGCTTATTGTCGTGATTGTGAAATAACGGAAAAATCCGTCGTCAATTCAGTTTATGAATAATGGAATAACAATTGGTATGAATAACGTCAGTCAGCATTTGACCCAATGATAAATTTTATTTGCTGACAAGGTCATTGTATCGATCATTGAACTTACGAAATGATGACTTTAAACTATACGTAGAACATGCTCTTGCGTAAAACATTACCATTTACTATTAAAAATGCTCGACTAGTCGTTAAAGGGCCAGCTGAACATCTTAATCTATCCCCTCTGTAGCAAATTCGTCCAAAAATGCTTGTTATTAGTGTATGTCAAATTGCTACAAGAATATTGTAACATTTTAAGTTACTAACAAAAGATTTATGAATGAATTTTTAAGCACCATCAACTTGTATCTTACAGAAACGCTTGGCAGGGTACCTCAATTTCCGTGGGTAAACATGTTAGTGTAACAATAATTATTAATTCAATTATATAAACTAAGAAAAAAATATATCGTGTTTATTAGCAAGGTATCTTCTATTCCTAAACTGAAGAAAATTAGGTTTATGCCAATGAATGTATAATGTAATTTTTTTCTAAAGCAGTGTTGAATTTAATTTTACATCTTTAGCTTATGTTCCTATTGGTGGTGTATGTGTATCAGATATTCAGTGTAGAGACACAAACTACTCTGGTGTTTGCTTGGATTCGAAATGTACCTGTAGAGTGGGATATACTGCAAGACAAAACCGTTGTTACATGTATGCAGGTAACTGATTGTAAAAGAATTTTTGCGATTAATTTTTTTTTTGCTTTAAAATATTTTCGAAACGCTTAATTTTGCAATTTTTTCTAAGAATATATGGATGATATTGAAAACAACTTGTGATTTATTTCCTATTTATTATTTTATACCCAGAACAAGTTTGAGAACATACTGTTTTCACTTTTGATTTCTTTTCAACTGGACAAATAAAATGAAATCTAAACTAAAGATAGATGTAATGAGAGATGAGCTCTTGCTTTCTAATAATATGAAAAATTATTGCTAGCTAGAGCGTGTTTTTATGTTGAAATCGATTTAGTTTATTATTTTTATGCTTAATTATATACTCATTTATCATTCAATAAAATGCTGCGAAAATATAGAATGAATTTTTTAAAAGAAACGTATAACGGTTCCCTTTACAATTAAAACTAGTTAAAACACGAAGTGCTTTCAGTTTTGTTTTTATTTATTATTATTATTATTATTATTATTTTTTTTTTTTTTGCAAAGACTTGCAGTATTGAAGCAACATTTTTCAAAAAATAAGAATGACGTGCTAAAAATGATCTTGAAAATTATAGGAAAAATACAGAACAAAGTAAGTCTTTTGAAGAACAAACCAAAATATTCGTACTACTGTGCAGTTGTATAGAATCAAAGAAAGTTCTATATATATTTTTCATTGATTTGTGGAAATTTAACGAAAAATCCCGACACCTGTTTAACGTTTTTAATTCAAACTTCTTTTGCTTAAAGCAATACGAGCTGTATTTTTGATTTTTTCCTATTAAACGGTGTTTTATAATATATTTGTATGTAACGTATCCTTTGTGACCAACTAGACTTAAATAAAACAGAGAAAAGGGTTACTTCCATGTTCTACTTCACAACATTGATTTTTCTTTCTTTCTTTTTATATACATCTTCTTTGATTTCTCTTTGCCTCTGACTTTTCTTAACACAGTGCAACAGGCAGTGATGTTTTAGTTACATGTAAGCGATTGAAACATCATCTCTTTGCATATTTTGAGATTATTTATATCATTTGATTTGACATTATTATATACATTTTAAGAATTTATAGCTGATTTTGGAAGAATAAACCGTTAAAAGATTTAGTTACTGTCTCTGCCCTATTGCAGACCAGAAACTTTTTAATTGCTTATTATAATATCCTTTCAAACTGTAACAGAATATCGAATTGATCCAATAAATTAACCACAATTTTTCAATGCTATAAATGTTTTAAATGCATACTATGCCTAGTAATTATATTGTTGTAGACCAAACTTTTTCATAAGGTAATAATACCTTTTATGCAAGAATTTGATTTGCCTGATTTCTTTCAATCACAGACTTTAAACACATTTCGGTTTCCAAATGAGAACTGAAAAAAAAATATGCCAAATTGTGTTCAATATTTTGTTGATTGATTGTATGGTAATTTACGTCCTGTTGAAGAGTTTTTCTCTTATATAGAGACTTCACCTTACATAACTAAAGGACTTCAAATTTAGACCTTTACTTGGCACGCAAGGCCATTGAGTATTCAGAGGTTTTTTGTCATGCCAACGCCTACAGTACTAGTACCTCAGGGCCTAGTTTTTATGAAAATCTGACCCAAAAGACAAGCAACTTTCACTTCAAAATGTTAAGTGCTCTGGCGACTTGGCAATGAAACAGTTGTTACATTTTTATTGACTTTGGTCAGTCGCGGCTGTGAGTCGAACAAATGACCTTCCGATCATGGAGTGAGGGTTTTGCCAACTGACTTGTGTAATATGTATAATTTATAGGGATGGCAATCGAATACAGAATTGCTAATCGGTTAACCGCAAGACGTTCCGACCGATTAACCGGTTAACCGTATCAAAATACGCATTTTCTTTTTCCTAAGTTAATCTATTCATATATACAAGAAGACTGATAAAGTCTACATGTTAAATCATTGTATTTGTCTTGATTCTTGCTCTAAAAAAGCAAGCTTACATATATTCTATTTTAGTTTCTATATAGACTGGGACAAGTTAAGAAAACCACGAATCATGTCTGAGAAATTTTTCCAATGCAGATTAAACTTAAGTTCATTCTATTAAAACTAAGTCTGAAATACATTACTTAATTAACAAAGTTTGTGTAGTACAATTTATCGATAGATAACTGTAAAAAATAAAGATACTAATTCGCAGTTCTCAATGGTGATTTAATTGTCATTAAAGAAATACAGGACTGTCAGGGTGACGACGTGGTGTTTTAAAAGTAATTAACACTTCAAACACAAAATGACAAATTACCCTATAATCTCAATCCGGAGAACCAAAATTACACACAAGTCAGCTTGGATATGTGAAAACGCTGAATAATCAATGTTTATGCAAAGGTGTTTTTTTAAATCTATTTATAACAAAAAATTGGTTCAATTTATATAAATTTTATTTTTCCGGCTAACCGATTACAGATTTTATAACCGATTGGCATCGTTCCGACCGAGTAATCGATTAACAGGTTAACAACTGCCATCCCTAATAATTTATAAATGCAATGTTCATATAATGTTTTTTGCTATACATTTAGCTGCTGTTCTTGTTGGCGGTAAATGTGTATTAGATATTCAGTGTAGAGACATAACCTACTCCGGCGTTTGCCTGAATATTATTTGTATATGTAGAGTGGGATACGTTGCTCTACGAAACAGTTGTTATGCAGATAATACATTGTAAAAAGGATTTTAAAAAAATAAAATAAAAAGAATTAAATCTACGTTTCAAAGTACAATTGTTTAAAGCCTGGTATGGATAATACTATTTTTACTCGTGAGTTTCTTTTGTTAACTATACGAACGATATGAAATTTAGTAAAGTTTAAAAATAACAATGACCTTTTTCTGCTTCTGAAAAATATGATTGCTAAGCTGTGTGTGCTCTTGTGCTGAATTCCGATTCGCTACCATTATTTGTAACTCTTTTTGTCAATAAAATACTACGGAAATTAAAATATGGGTATAAAAAATATATGAAGATATATAATTACTTTTCCGATCGATTACATCATAAGTCCGCCTTTAAAAAAATTTGTTTTGTTGCCCTCTCCCGATTGACTGTCTAAGAATGGCAGGAATCAAAACTTCTTTTTTGCATTCCAGGACATGATTTTTTCTGTTTATTCTTCTCATTGCGTAGACAAATGTATTGAAACTTTCCGAAAAAAAATTACACCTACCTATCGACCCAATTATTATACCTGAGTCGGGAGAGGGCAAGCAAACATATTTTTGAATTTGATTGAACATAAATGGAATTTCTTTTAACATCCTTGCTGGATGTCAAATTTTGAAAAAAAGAAAATTACAATTTTTCTGTAAGAAAATAACAGTAATTCAAACTGGGTCACGTATTCCAGGGCAATTATCAAGTTTTTTCCGGTACTCGTTGATAATTCTAAATGCATATTGTTTATACCTTGGATATGACTCATTGGATTTTTTTTATATCTCACAGTTGAAACGTTGCAAGAGATTGTGTATGAAAATGATGAAATAAGGAAAAGTTGGTTCCTATAAATGAAGTGTTAAACCTAAATAATGATGTTTGAAACCTGGGATGAGAGGAAACTTTCAGGATTTGTAGTTGGAGATGATTTTTTTTATCCGACGAATTATTTGTTTTTATCCCTAGCTTTTGCGAGGCATGGATAATCCTATATATACAGCTTTTTATACAACTTAATTGGTGAATATTGTTTGTTTTATTAAATAGTTTTATTTCACTAATTTATTCTTGTAGAAGCTTTAGTAGATACTATGTGTTTTTCCTGGAAGAAAAAGTGCAAAGACTTAACAAGAGAGTGTAGTATTTTTAGCAATCACGACGTTGGAATGTGTGTTTGCAAATCAGAATATCTAGGATTTGGAGAAAACTGTTTAGAAGGTTGTGTAACTCTTCCAATTTTCTTTCATTCAAATCTGATATGTTATTTCAATAAAGTTTTGCGATTAAGGTAGACATGAATTGAAGAGTTTTTTTTTTAAATACATTCAGGAAACCTTAAAATCAATCAGACCTGTGAGCGAAATGAACAGTGTAATGCTGCACAAAACTTAGAATGTCAAAATGGAAAATGTACGTGTCGAGATATGAACGTACTTGTTAATGAGACTGATTGTAAACCAGGTAAATATAGCATATTCATATACAATAAATATTAATATTGGATCGCTCTTTGATAATTCTTTTGTAAAGTTTTTTTTCTCTAATTTACAATTAATAATAATAAACTAAATGAATTCACATTAACTAATCAATGTAAAATTATATTTTTAATATTATTTTATAATAATATTTTATCATTATTTCAGTGGAAATAAATGGAAAGGCGATAGGAAAAATGTTTTTAAATCAAGAACAAGGTAAGGACTTTCACTAAACATCATAATTTGACTATTTTATGGTGTATACAACACTTTATTATATACCTAATGTGTATCACCCTGTTTTACTGTTGAATTTACGCTATCACGTGACGTCGTGATCCGATTTTTCGGATAACCAACATGTTGTTTTCTGAATCCATATCACCACTCTCTGAAACTGATGACGTAGTACGCAGATATATGACGTTATTTTTCTTGCGCGTTAAAAAGTCCCTTGTTGTTATGCTTTGTTTTATGGATAAATGTTATGGAATTGATCTGTAATATTTTCTTTCGCTATAATTTGCTAGTTATGAGGGGGTATATAATAAATTTATCATTATAACAGTAACTTGATCCGAAGAGCCGTATCACGTCTCGTTGACAGGCGCGGATCATCAGATCAAACTCGACGCTTCGCGTCTCGTTTGATCCAATGATCCGCGCCTGTCAACTCGACGTGATACGACCCTTCGGATCAAGTTACTGTTATAATAATATATATTTATCGCTTTATCCTTACACCGGTAAGTTTTGTGTATGATATTATCATAAGATTGCTTTATGGTTAAATATTATTTGAACGGTAATTAGATTTTCTCTTATGTTCCTTTTTTGCTATTTTATCCCTGAAAATGCATACACATGTATGCATATTTAAAAAAAAAAAACCACACAAATTGAACATTGGATTATTAATGAATTACATAAAATTTCTGGAGCAATGATTTAATATTCATGTAGCTGATTTGAAAATGAATGATTTGATAAATGGAGCTGTAAGCCAACTGTTAATCAGTTGCAAAAATTATCCACGAGTTTGTAACCAACCTTGTTTGCTATATATATATATATATATATATATATATATATATATATATATATATATATATATATATATATATATATATATATATATATATATAGTATCTATATAACATATAGTATAAATCCAAACACGTAATGTTATAACGTAATGTTATAATAAAAAACATCACAACATGGAAGGCGTTTCTGCACAAAATTGTCACGCAAGCCAATCGATCGATCATCGTCTCGAAATTTAAAAATCTGACAGTTATTCCTTATACACTAGACAAAATTGCTAACGCACCACTTACTATTTCTTTGTTTGTTTTAAATTTGAACGCACTAAAATCTTATTAGTATGTTATTTTAATAGTTTATTTTAATACAGAAAATAAAACATGATTTGTTGCAAAGTTATTGAACAGTTGCGCTGAGCACAGTTTATGAAACATTGGTACCCCCAATTATGAGATTCACACTTCAATATCTTGTATGGCCTCCATTTGCTCTGATAACAGCTAGGCATCTTTGCCTCATTGAATTAATGTAATTATGTAAAAATCTTTGTGGCACATTGTTCCACTCATTCAAAATGTCCCTTTGTAGTTCTGCAAGATTTCGTTGAGCAGGAAGTCGTCGAATTCGCCTATCCACCTCGTCCCACAAATTCTCCATTGGGTTAAGGTCTGGACTACACGGCGACCATTCTAAAACCCTGATGTTGTTCCTCTGCAGCATTTCTCTTGTCGTCTTTGCAGTATGACACGGAGCATTGTCCTGCATAAAGATCATCCCGCGATTTGCTCGCAAATGTGGTATTAGGCAAGGACGAATGATGAGATCCTGATATCTCTGAACATTCAAATTTTGATTCACGATTATGGCCTGCGTCTTTATATGTAAAGAAATCCCCGTCCAGATCATTACAGACCCTCCTCCTAACTGTCCCTTCTCTTTCACACAAGGTGCACTGTACCTTTCGCCTCTCCTGCGATAGACTCTCAATCTTCCATCTGAACGCCGTAAATTGAACCTTGTCTCGTCGGTAAATAAGACATTTGCCCAATCAGCACGAGTAAATCTCAAATGTCGTCTTGCCCACTGCAGTCGGATCTGTCGATGTCTTTGAGTCAACACAACACCAACAAATGGCCGTCTTGCCCGCAAACCAACCTCTTTAAGTCGATTTCGCACTGTTTGCGCACTGATGTTGCGTTGATGGTTACCAATGATTATCGTTGATGTTGCAACAGCTGTGGTGCCTTTGTCTCTCAGGTGAGATAATGCGATGTGTCTGTCTTGTCCCCTAGTAGTTACCCGGCGCTTTGGAATTCTTTCTCGGTCCCTCACACTTCCGGTTTGCACGAATTTCCGGTACAATCTTGCAATTGATGTGTGGTGCCTATTTAACACTGTGGCTACCTAGAAAGATATTTTTTTCATTAAATAAGCTTGCTACATCATGTTTTAGCGAATATCATTGACAATCGTTATTTAGGTTTTAACTTGCCTCTCTAAAGGAACACCCTGCAGAGACCAAACCAACTGCCCTGCCACGCTCTTCTGTGGTCAAACGCCGCATACCCCGTAGGTTTTTTTTTTTGGTGAGTTTTTATGATTGCATGCAACAATAATAAGAACACAAAAAAGAAAGTAACGATTTATTCTTCCAAAAAGCGTGAGCACGATTTTTAAGCATTTCTAAAGATCAGCTACGCTTCAGTTAACATTGCATCCATTTATCCGTTTGGGCATTTAAATGTCTATTTTATAACTAAGGCCACCTATTTAAACATGAAATACATCTAAAACAAGTTTTTTGAGTATAAATTGTATTTTTTTGGGTGGTGCGTTGGCAATTTTGTCCAGTGTATTTACATGCTTTGATTCCGCCAATCCACGTGCTCCAAGTCCTGCTTCTGTCTAGCTATTTATTCCGCCCTGCACGTGATTTTTTTTAAACCGCTCCTTTTGATGAAGCAATACATTGATGGGGAAATAAAGTACATTTACTATTTTTAACTTTATCTCGTACAAAGACATTGGAAATGTAAATATATAACTATTAATGCAAATACCATACAATAAATAAATTTAATGATTGTACATTCCCACTTTTCAGCATCATTCCATAATCAGGGACTTTTGATTGGATTGATTATATTTGGATTATTGGTTATTACATTAACCGTGATCGTCATTGTGCAAGCTATACACAACATGAAGACTAATAAAAGGTACAAGATGATAATGCATATTTGTTGTTTACAAATAGAATCATAAAATTCATCAATATTATTCTTTTAAGATTAAGATCGATAAGAATATTAATCTATTCAAAGTACGAATTATTTGTTTTAAGACTTTTAATTAATAATCTTTAAGTTAAGTTATTATTATTTTTTTTTTTTGCAGAATGCAATGTCTTGCCGATACTATTCACAACTTGACAGGAAATTCAGATCCAGTTGCAACAACCAGTCGTTCAAATTCAGCATATTCTACTTTAAATCCAGAGCAAGCTTATGATTTACCTGAACGACAATACGATAAAATTTCTAATGCTTTTAAGTACTTAAAATTTCATTATCAAATAGATAAAAAAAATTAATGAGACTATTTAAAACAAATCAATTTTTATATCTAAAATTTTAACAATCGTTTTCCATATATTTTAGATCTAATCTCTTTCTGACAGAATGCAGAGTTCTGAGACAAACAGTGACAGTTTGACAAGAAATTCAGAGACTGTTGCAACAACCAATCCTTCAAATTCAGCCTATACCACTTTAAATCAAGAGCAAACTAATGACCAACACGAGCATTATTACAAAGAACTTGCGAAAATATCAACGTTTCCAAGTACTTAGATATGGTGTTATCAATGCAGTAAAACATCTCCAAATGCAAGTGAAAAAATTTAAATTCATGCTAGCATACATTATAATAATTTACCTCGTTATAATTAATCAATACAATGCCTTATTGGTTCTAGATAATCATATGACAGAGCCGTAAAACTTTATATTTCCCTGTCGACGACATGCTATTCAACCTCTTCGGATGCTTAGTGCATTTCTCCACAATGATTACGCTGAACGAAAACTGCCGAGAGTAGTAAAGGTTCATCTCACAAAAATCAAAGTGTAATGAGAAATGAATCTGACAGCGATGTCGAATTTTAAAGTTAACATTTATTTATTTATTTATTTTAAAAGTCTTTACTTGTTTCGGTATATTAAACAATTTATTGCACGAAGAAAGTTCGGAAAGCATGCAAATGTTTTAGTTAAGATATATTATATTCCCTCACGATCATGCAATAAATGGGAAATATACAATCATATTTAATGAAATTTTTCGAATATCGAATAGGCTTTGATAAGACGGTCGTTATTATTCTATTACTTATGATACCTGAGCAGTCCGCAAACCATATTGCAATTACATATGTATATATAAAAGCGAAATGTCAGCACATATTATTTTCTACACATTAAACACAAGATAATTTCATTTTTGCATTAATAACTTTCAAAACCAAACTTCTAAATCATTTTGCGTCACAACGTAGCAAAACGGCGACCCGTTCTTGTAATAAATGAAATTTTACTCGGAATTAATTCGTCTCAAATGAAGTTCACTGGGAAATGAACTTAGTTAGTACACGATCAAATCTACTGAGAAGCCCTTCAGATTTCACAGGATTTGACCCTGTGACCAACTAAGTCCATTTCCAAGAGAACTTTTTAACGTTTTTGTTAATTATTAAGGAAACCCAGCATTTAAAGACTGATATTCTCGCAACATATGTTTTTGGGTCTGACGTGGCCTCAGGAAAGTTCCGAAAGTTCAACAAATCAATGTTATCCTTATATTCAGTTAACACCTATTCATTACGATAAGAACTGCAGACGATAGTATTGTTCTACCCCCTATACCTCCAAGTCAATTTTCAAAAAGTTAACACATTTGAATAATTTTAATGTTTTAATAGATAATTACATAGATTTTCAAAAAAGGTTACTTTTTTTGGTAAAACAAAGATAGATAACTCAATAATTTTGGTAAAACTTGTGTTTGTCACTAAAGAAATTAACGGAAAAGGGAAAATATTTTTAAAATTTGCACCCCCCCCCCCCCGTGAAACAAAAAATCCTTTTTACAGGTAATTTGGACTGTCATTTTACAAATTTATGCCAAAGCTTTTTGTGTTTCACGGGAGGAGGGACCAAGCAACGATCCGAAGTCCGCATATATAGCTCTCTCCTACCCGTGGCTGCTTGATCACAAAGTGTGTCGTAATTGACGTAATCTTAAATATTAACGCCTCTCTAATGTGACGTCATATCTAGTCAGTGGCAAGTTTTTTTTTCCATCGCAATTGAATACAAGAACTGACGTCAACAGTATACAAGAGTATTTCATTTACTGCGATTGGACATTGAAAAGTCGTGATAACGTTCATCATCCGACTATGCTTTACTCGCATTGGTCAATTTTTTAATGAGCTACGAAGAATTCTCTCCTCGTTTAACCAAGGGCCGAATGGTAGAGGATCGTACATTTTGGCTGTGGTTTGCGACGATGGGAGGTACATATGTTTACAGACAAAAAACGGAAAAAATGTTTATTTTTCTCCAATTTCAAAGTGATTTACAACTAAATATCAGTATTCAATTAATTCATATGTATTTTATTTATTTCCTTAAAACAAAATAAAATATATAAGAAACATTTTATCATATTTAAGGCTATTACAAACAAGAAGTCTGTGAGTCAATGGTCACTAGTAATAACCCGACTCTAATGTGAATATACTTTGTCAGGTTATTATACACTCTAAGTTTAGTTATGGGTAAATGCACGTATAAATAGGAAGTTGTCATCAGATTCATAGAAAAATCAATCCAACCATGTGGCATGCCTAAACAAAGTATACATGTATGCTTAAACTTCAAGCATCTGTGATGAGTAGTTGCTGAGAAAACTGTGACAAAATCATTGTTATGCTTGAAAGTGACAGACACACGGATAAACAAGAAGTTGACATCACATGTGAATAAAAAATGAATTCCACCATATGGCATGCCTCAACATAGTGTGTACTAAAATTAAAGGCATCTGTAATGAGTAGTTCCGGAGAAAACTGAAACAAAATTATTATTATGCTGGACATTGACAGACACACGGATTAACAGGAAGTTGACATTGGATTTGAACAAATATGAATCAAACCATATGGCATGCCTAGGAGAAGATTGTGTTAAAATTTCAATCACCTACGATTAGTAGTTGCTTAGAAAACTGAGACTAAATTTTGTTACGAAAACACACACACACATTGGCCCACAAGGGTAAAAAAAGTATAACCCCTTTCATTTGGAGCGGGGATATAAATATGGTGATGATTTAACGTTCGATTTCAATAGAAAATATCGTCTCCCCCTTTTTTTTCCAAGAGCTTGAATTAATGATCATTTTCTACCTGGCGCTGGAACCATGATGATTAATCAAATACGGTACCAGTGAACTGTTCTTTGTATTTAACAACGAATTTATGGCCATATTGCCTTAAATATAATTTAATGGATGCAAAATGTAGGCGGGAATTAAGAATTAGAGTTCGTAGTTCTTTATGTGATCAAGTAGTCAAGGATAAGAGTAAGCTATATTCAGATTCCTTACCGTGGCATAAGATAATGGGAAGATGTTTTTTTAAAAAGGCCCATAATGGATATTTTAGGAATAAAGAAAAATTATGAAAATTGTATACTTTAGAAGATTCCAAAACAATGGCTAGAATTATCATGACATTTCAGCATTGGACCATAATTTTTGAAAGGTATAGTCTCATACCTGAATCGGTTTATAAGGTTTAGTAGGAGTTATGTTATAACGACTAATAAAGTATATATTGTATTATGTAGGTCGTGGTCACAATCGCCAAATCAAAAATAAATGATTTTAAGAAATTATATTTGTCTTCATCGTCTTTGATAATTACATTTTTTACTCATTGCCTTTACTTCAAATGCGATTTATATTTTAAAAATCATGTACATTGTATTATCATTGGGGTATGTTGCAATTAATGGGAGAATCATTTTAAAAGCCTTTGCCCAATGTGAGCTTGTTTTTTTTTTATTTTCACTTATGACGTTGAACTTTCAAGGCGTTGAACATTTGTGACGATTTCAAACAAATCTATAATTTAACCTTTTGACCCCCTTTCAGTGTTGTTGTGTTTTGTATAACATTATTTACAATTTAGAATTTATAAGCAAAGTACAAGTGGAATATAAATATTGTTAATGAATGAATGAGATCTCATAAATGGGGAACAAGATGAAATCAACATTGATTTTTGTTATCAATTAGTGTCATTTTACTTTTTTTTTTTAACTAATTGTAATATTTACATTGTATAAATTATGATGTAACACAAGTAAACAAAAATTAACTATATATCATATATGTCATATAAATAGTTTTTTTTTATTCATATTCAATGCTTATATATTTACATTCTCATATTTCTCTTCACATTTGCTTATTTCGTAAATCTTTAATATGAATTAAGAGCCCTTCAAAACTGGCGTGGTTAATAAAATAAGAGCCGTTTGTGACGTCAAATGACGTTTCAAAGTTAAATAACTCAAACAGACATTGCAAAGAAAGAAAGTGACAAATTAATTTTAAACGCATATCTGTCGTATCTATACGTTTATTGAACAGGATTATAGTTGTTAATAAAATTGCTTCAAAACATTGTTCATTTTGGTGTTCCTATATTATAGAAAATGCATAATATTTCCCACTGTGTATTCTACCACGCGGTGACAAAGTTTCGTGTGTGTTATAGAGATTTGAAAGCCGTGGATTTCTAATGGATATCATACAGAAAATTACACTGAATCAGATTGTAACTATAATGAAATGAAACTTAACCGCCTACTGAGAAACGATACCACAGCAATATCAAGATGCACATACTTTATTCAGCTTTTTATCTAATATTTAGACAACCACATGCAAAACAAGATCTGTTTGTGAAACACTGATGCCCCCATATGGCAACATAGCGAAGGTTAAACTTCCTCAAATATGTTGGTACCTAAAGTAAGGCCTTTTCACAGGAAATACAAATGATAAAAAAACCCAACACAATCTGTTTAAAGGAAAGGACCAAGTTTAACGTTTTAAAGGTAAGAACAACCTCGGGGTCAAGGTCAAAGGGTCAATGATGTTGGTTTCTAAAGAAAGGCCTTGTCTCAAAGATT